CTGGGAGTTGAAGTCCACTCATCTTAAAGTGGCCAAGTTTGGACAACACTGGCTTAGAGGCACCGGCCACCTGGCTCCGGGGTTGCATGGGTTACAGAACAGCAATTTCAGCTGAGCTCCGGGGCTGGTCCTTTAGCAGGCAAGCTTGGGGCTACGAGGGACCTTCCTTTTGAGTGGGATGGGCAAGAGGCAAATCCCCCCCCCCCGGCAACGCTCAGCCTTTGCCGTTCTTAAAGCAAGCTTCCATGTGGCCGAATCCATGTTAGTTAAGTGACCCCCTTCTCCTGAGGAACAGCGACGAAAACCCTGGTAGCCGGCTTGGGGAGCTGCCACGCCGGGCGTGTTTTCCCATCCTTGTCCTCCTCCACCCCCCAGAATCAGTTTGACCCAAGAAACCTCTTTGGGGCTGTCGAGTGCCTTCCCACCCAGGTCTCCGCAACGGTCCGATTCTGCCGCCCCCCACCCCCACCCCGGACGCTGCAACAGTGGTATTGTGATGGCTTGTTCCTGTGTTTTGATGATGCCTTTCTGCTTTGGATGTGACTTTGGGACGACCCTCTGTGTGTCTCTGTGCATGTGTGGATGTGCGTGTTGCGGTGTGAGAGAGGTGGAGGATGTCGTTTGGGAGAGATGTTGCTTCCTTGGTCTGTGAGAGGAGCTGGGTGTCTTCCCCCCACTTCCCAAAAATGAAAAGTGCTCTTAAGTGTCTACTGTCCTCTTTTCCTGTCCTCCTTCAGAAATCTTTATGGAGGTCCACCTTGCCAAATCCAGACATTCCAATAAATTTTGCAATTCCTCTACAGCCTGTCTCCAAAACTTCTTGGCCTTCGATGACCACGCTTGTCCTTCTTTCTTGCAATCGAGAACTGCAAGAGATGCAGCAAATGGGTGGGGCAGCAGGGACCCTGGAGGACTTGTATGGAGGAGCTGGCCCCATCACCCCATGGGTGGTAGGGTGGGAAGGAGCCCTAGACAGAAAGCTGTTTCAGCCCCCTTTCCCCAGCCAGCAAAAGTGAGGCCATTTTGGCTCTAAAAGGAATTGAAGGGAGATGTCCTCCTTGCCTGCAAGGCTGAGGTGTCCCTACTCTGAAAATCCTTCCTGGAGAGCAAGCGTGGCTGGAGTCTGGCCAGCTGTGATAAGACGCCAGGCCCAAATCCAGCTGGAGGCGTGGGGGTGGCTCCGAGGGGGTGCCCTGTTCCTCCTGTGAAATGGCTGGGAGAAAAATCTGTGTTGAGAAGTTGGCCTGGAGGAGGACGGAGGGAGGAGCACAGAGCCCAGGAACCACGCCAAGAGTCAAAGCAAACCAGCCACAGTTGCAAAGGTCCTACCCTGCGAAGTGGTTTTTCTGAGAGACCCAAAAGCAGATGTGGAGGACGATTTTCAGAGGCTGACTTCTAGGCCCCACTGAAGAGTCTGAGGTTCTGGCATTGCTAGGGGACACCTCTCCTTTTCTCCTTCGGGTTCTTTTGTTTTTAAACCTTTCACTCGGATTTCTGGCTCACTGATCAGATAGCAGCAGCCTTCCCCAAGCTGGTGATTGTTCCAGATGTGCGGGACTTGGGTGGCCATCATCCTCAGCCCACATGGCCGAGGGTATCTGGAGGCCGCTGGTGTGGAGCAACCTGAGAATTAGGATTTGAAAGGGAAGGTTCAACACCAGCTTCTCGAGGCAAAGCGAATGGCTCCGGCGATTCGGCGGCGGAGTCTTAAAATAATTTAATTTTTCGGAGAGCCCAGGTTTTTCACACACCTTTTCACCCCCTCCCCTGCCCTCTTCTAAAATCACAGCAGATACGTCTGACCACATGTAAAGGTTTGCCAGAAAACAGGACGGAAGGATGAGTTCCAAGTTTTATTTTGTTTCGGTTGAAGAATCCCTCAAAAGATACAGGGTTTATCTCACTGCTTGGGTTTCAAAATATGTAGCCAAATTTTGATACTCGGCAGCGACAACAAAGGTCCCGTTATCCTGTTTTCGTAAAAGAAACAACTCTAGGAGTTACTTTAAACATTGAAACAGTCACTTTCCCCCCAACCCCGTTGACCGAATTCTTAAAATAATGAACGTCTATGAAGTGCACGTACATCCAAGAGTTACAAGCCACCTTTCCCCAAATGTTGCTATCTCTGGATGACAATGCCCATAATGCTTGTCTGTACCTTTGCCTTTATGCCTCTTCAAAACATTCTTTCGAACCGTCTTGAACTCGAAGGAGATCAGCCATTCCAAAACTTGGAGCAAACGTTGCAGGGAGGACACGCATAGAGACATCCAAGCGTTGCATCCAGAATGAGATGGGATGAAAAATAGGAATCTTTCAACAAGCGCTATCCAAATATAGCTGGCACCCACAAAGTCACTGTCCTGCTGAAAACTGGGAGAGGAGAAAACTCTCAAGGGTGCCCAAAAGCTTCCTAATCATAACAAAAATAGTGCACGGAAAATGTTCCATCGGTGCCCATGGAAGCTTTTTCATGCTGAAAACGGGCCAGTCAAAAGGCTTCCATTAGCACCCATGGCCATTTTCTCATGCTGAGGATGGTGTGATTGGAAGCCCCCATCGGCACCTTCTCACCAGCCCTCTTTGACCTCATCTGTCCCAGCTTGACGTCCCTCGCTGCTTCCTGCTGAAAACAGGGTGGAGATGGCATCTCTGAAGGCTTCTTGGGGGGCGGCTGGTTGGGAAAAGCCATTGCAGAGATCGTTGGCGTGGCAGTTTGGGGGCAGTGATGAAAAAATGGGGAGACAGAAAGCTGATCAGCCTTCTTGGCAGGCAGGAGATGGCTTCCAGACCTCCCTTCTGGGGGCAGCTACAGCAGAAGGCTCGTCTGAAGGACTGCCTAAGGTTGGTGACCAGCCACATCAGAAGAAGTTGAGGAGGAAAGGAAGTTATAATGAAGAGCTGTCACCCACCAGGCTGGTCCTCTACTCAGCACTGTCCTTTGGGGTGACTGGATAGCATTCATTGTGGCTGTGTTTCATTTATTCCAGCGTAACAGATCAAAGTAGTGGTGCACAGTTAAGGCGGCTTGTCGCGTAGCCCGGTCTTCTGTCTGTTCTCCTTGGCTTCTAGGCAGAAGCTCCAAGCGAGTCACAGGGAGGAAGGGGGGAACAGCTGCTCTCCTACCAAGCTTGCCATTCTAGGAATCAGTACCCCCTCCCCACAAAGACCCAAGTAACCCACAATCCATGGCAGGGGAAAGAGGCAGAGTGGGAAGTGGGAAGTCGTGAGAAGGCATCTTGGTTAGTAAATTCTATCTTCAGGGCCAGATCTGGAAGAGGCTGGAGAAGAACCGGGCGGGCGAGGCCCTCCGCCCTTCCATCTCCTGGGTTTCCAGCCGTCAACATTCACGGGATGGAGACACGTCGCCTGGGACAGCTCCACTCATAAGCCTGCAGGACAAGAGATCATGTTTTAGCTTCGTTTGGCGTTTGCCTATTTTTTTAGTCTAAAAAGTAGCTGGGGGCCAGACAAAGAGGGACGAAAAGTAAATTGGAATTTGTTTGCTGGCCGTTAGATTAAGGACCCACCGTCAACAGGACCCGCTGCCAAGTCATCGCCCTTGGCCCAAGCCGCAGACGTTGCCTTCTCCCACCACTGGAGGGGTCGCTCTCCAGCAAGTGAGATCCAAGCCCCCGGCCTCACTGTTACCCTTGTGTTTTCACGGCAGAGGGCAGGGGGCACCCACTTTCTGCCCCCTGGCCAAAGGAATGCGCTTCGCTTTGGGCACTGGGCACCGTGGTTGGGGCCGACGCCTCGGACGCTCAGCCCCAGTCTTGGGTCAACAGTACCCCGTTTTCCAAGCCGCTTGGCTTGCATCGTAACAGGCTGGGGGCGGGGGATCCTCGCTTGCCTGCAGCAGCTCCCGCTTGCTGGAATGGCGCCCACCTCCCGATCCTGTCGGTGCCCAGCTGCAGGGACAAGGAGGCACATGTTGCTATGCGCGGCTTAGCAACATGCAAGATGTATTCAAAAACAATAATGAAATTATCGCAGGGAAACAATGGAGTGACACTTGAGGAGACAGAGGCTGAGGCGATCTCTCCTTTGCCAAGACGGAACAAAAGATGGGCCTCATTGTGTGGGTAAATATATGACAATATCCT